AAGAGGTGAGTTCATTTTTTTTAATATATTTTTTTATTGAATCACTGTGAAATAGTCCCTTACAAAGCTGTTCATGATTGGGTTTCAGTCATACAGTATTCCAACACCCATCCCTCCACCAGTGTACATTTACCAGCACCAGTGTCCCCAGGTTCCCTCCATCACCCCCACCTTTACCCCCCAGCATACCTCTATGGCAGGGGCTTTTCTTCTCTCTCTGTCTCTCTCTCGCTTTCTCTCTCTCTTTTTTTTTTTGGCCTGAGGATATCAGGTTTTCCCATTACCGCTTGTTGAAGAGACTTTCCTTACTTCACTTCATATTATTTGCTCCTTTTTTGAAGAGTAACTGATCATATACATGAGAGTCTGTCTCTGGGTTTTCTATTCTGTTCCATTGAACTGGGGGGTCTGTCCTTATTCAGTACTATGTTGTTTTAATCATTACTGATTTACAGTACAGTTTGAAGCTAGGGAAAGTGATGCCTCCCATCCTCTAAGAATTGCTTTGATATTTGGGTGGTTTTATTGTTCCATATAAATTTCTGGAGTGTTTGATCTATTTTTTTATAAAATGATACGGGTTTTCCTATAAAAGACAGCATTAAATCTGTGTAATGCTTTGACAATGTTCATCCTCCCAATCCATGAGCAGGGAATGTGTTGCCATTTTTTTGTGTCTTCTTTCATTTCTTGAAGTAGTGTTTTGTAGTTTTCTTTTTCTTTTTTTTGTGTGTGTATTTTGTAGTTTTCTTTCACCTCTTCAGTTAAGTCAGTTTCTAGATACTTGTTTTTCTGAGGCACAATTGTGAATGGGATTCCTTTTTTTTTATTTTACAGTTTTTAATCAAGTTGTATATAACGTTATTCCTGCATCTTCTCAAGTGTTTCTTCCTTATATTTGCCCTTCTCTTTTCCTACTTGGCGAGACTTGGCTTTGCATTCAAGGATCTTTTTGCGATCTTTGTCCAGATTTAGTCCAGTGATAACCACCTTACTGGAGTGAATGCCCACAAAAATATGGAATGCTTCACGAATTTGCGTGTCATCCTTGCGCAGGGGCCATGCCAATCTTCTCTGCATTGTTCTAATTTTAGTATATATGCTGCTGAAGTGAGCACGGGGATTGCTTTTTTAATGTATCTTCTCTTTCATTATTTATATATAGGAGATATAATAATATAATAAAAGCTATATACAATACATATGGCTGGAGCAATAGCACAGTGGGTAGGGTGTTTGCCTTACTAATAGTTTGCCATGATAGCATGGCTGACCCTGGTTTGATTCCTTTGTCCCTCTCAGAGAGCCCGGCAAGCTACCGAGAGTATCCCGCCCGCACAGCAGTCTGGCAAGCTACCCGTGACTTATTTGATATGTCAAAAATAGTAACAACAAGTCTCACAATAAAGATATTATTGGTGCCTGCTCAAGAAAATTGATGAAATGCCCTGCCACAGAGGCAGGATGGGATGGGGGGGATGGGTGGTGAGAGGGATGCTGGGACCCGTGGTGGTGGAGGATGGGCGCTGGTGGAGGGATGGGTACTTGATCATTGTATAACTAAAACCCAAGCACAAAAATTTGTAAGTCTATAACTGTACCTCATGGTGTTTCACTAACAAAAAAAAAAAAAGAAAATTGATGAGCAACGGGAGGAGAGTGCTACAGTGCTATGGACTTTTTGGTATTGATTTTGTAACTGGCCAATTTGCTGTACAAATTTATCATTTCTGGATTTCTTATAGTCTTTAGAATTTTCTAAGTATAGTATCGTGTCATCTGCAAATACTGAAGCTGGACTTCTTCCTATTCTATCTGTATGACCTTGATATCTTTTTCTTGCCTAACTGCTATGGCAAGTTATATAATATACAATATAATATATATAAAGCCCCTCTCTTTCATATATATATATATATATATATATATGATGTTGTGTTTGTGGGGTTTGTGTTTACAGTAGCCCCTTGGGGATGCTTAGGGGTTACTCCTGGCTCTGCACTCAGGAATTACTCCAAGTGGTTTTCGGGGGTCCATATGGGTTGCTGGAGGTTGAACACAGGTAGGCCATGTGCAAGGCAAACACCCTACCCACTGTACTCTTTCTCCAGCCCACCTCTTCAGTTTTTCTTTTAAAATTGGTGTTATGTCATGAAGTTCCTGAGCTATTGTTTATCCATAAAGTACTATATCATTCTTTTAGATCTGAATGAGAGTCTGGCTGCGTAAAATATTCTTGGAGAGGAATCTATTTCATTAAGTTTTAAACATCCTACCATCAACTATGGGCCTGGAGGGTTTCATTCTATAAGTCTGCTGTAATTCTAAGAGACACTCCTTTGTATGTAATTTCCTTCTTTGATCTTGCTACTTTCAGTATTGCATTTCTAAATATGGTATTCATCACTTTGATTAGGATACTTTTGGAGACTTTTATTAAGGTCTCTTTAAACTGGTACCCTTCAGACTTCTTGGTTCTGGATACCTGCATTCTCCATCTCCAGGAACTTTTCATAAGTGATATCTTTAACTGTTACTACCTCATTAGAGTTGCCTCCCTGTCCCTCTGGAACTCTGATGATTTTTATATGGTTCCTTTTGAATTTTTACCAAGTATTTCTATCTGCCCTTGAGTTATTTTGAGATCTTTTTCCATCTTTTGCTGTTGTCTTGGAGGTGTATTGCGTCTTCAAGCTCACTGATTCTGTTTGTCAGCTGTTGTTACTCTATTGTTGTGGGCATCCATTGAGTTTTTCGTTTCATCTACCAAATTTTTTATTAATGATATTTCAGTCTGTAGTTTCCTTATTTCTGCTCATGTTTCCTTCTGTATTTTATTGGCTATCTGTTCTACTATTTCTCTCATATCCTCCTATATTTTATGGGATGTCTGTTCCTTTGTTTCTTTGAGCTCATTAAACATCTGAATGAGCTGAATGAATTTTTTCCTCTGAATTCTTTATCAGACAGATTATGTATATGGGTATTTCTTGTTGAGGCTCCAGGGCTCCATCTTCATCCACTATTCATGGTGGGGTTCTGTGCTGTTTTCTCATGGTGCCTATGGTGGTGATTCCTTCCAGTACACTATCAGCACACCCCCTCTCCCCCCACATACAGAGCCAGGGAAGACTCTTGGGAAGTTCAGTGGGTAGTGGTCTCTTATTTCCCCTTCCTGACCCTTCAAACCAATACTAATTATTTCCAGTTCTTTGACATATACCATTTCACTGGTGTGAGATAAAATCTCATTGTTGATGTGATGTACATTCCCTAACCATAAGTGATGTTGAGCACTTTTTCATATACCTTCAGCCATCTATGTGTCTTCTTTGGAGAAGTTACTGTTTATCTCCCATATATATATATATATATATATATATAAAATATTATATTTTGATTGGGGTTAATTTATTTTTTCTTGTTGAGATTTGTAAGTGCTTTATAAATATTCAATATTAGTCCTTTGATGTATTCTCCCATTCAGTGAGGTGTCTTTATTTTAATTTGAAGAGTTTTTTTGTCATGCAAAATCATTTAAATGTGATGTATGTAATCAATCCCATTTGTTTTTGTTAGCTATTATAGTCCATTTGTTTTTGTTGTCTTTGCCTCAGGAGTCAAATAATTGAAGTCAGACTATTGAAATGGACTTCTCAAATCCATTTCCTGGAGTATTTTGCTATGTTTTCCTCAATGTATTTTATAGATACTGGTCTAATTTTAAGATCTTTAATCCACTTTGAGTTAGCTTTTGTAAAACTACTTAATGTGACCCAATATACGACCTCTTCTCCCAGAAAATTGTGGATGAGCTTTCTGACTTTGATAGTGACCCTTTAGTCTGCCTTTCAGAGATGGACACTGACCTTTTTCCTTTGATTCTAACAAGTACTGCTTGCTCTCAGTTTCTGTCCACCATGAACATAGTTCTGTCAAAGCATGGGGGATAGGAAGGTATGGAAGGAGAGACTCGAGGGGCTCAAAGGAGGAGAAACTCCAGATCCTCGGCTGCAGGCATTAAAGTTTTCTGGAGATCAGTGAAAAATAGTCTTTTCTTTATTTTAACCCACTGAAATGTTGCATGATCCGATCACAGAGGCTGAGTTGAAATGGTAGGTTTGACCTCGCTCTGTGGTCAGTATAAGGCTGCTGACCTGCTTTGGAGGCCGAGCATGGTTTTGAGACCCTTAGAGGAGAGTGCAACCCCGCCCCCCGCCCGCCACACACACCATCGCCACCCACACCTCCACTATTACAGACAGATGTCCCACCCTGCTGCTTTATTTCTTGCCTAACTGGTACACATCCAACCTATCTGATTTGTCCATCACTATGTTTATTTTTCTTTGGTGTGGGGAGGTGGGTTCCAAACCCAACAGTGTTCAGGGTTTACTCCTGGCTCTGCACTTGGGGATCACTCCTGGCAGTGCTTAGGGGACCATATGAGGTATACTAGGGATCAAACCTGGGTTTCCTGCATATAAGGTAAATGTCCTATTTCCTACACTATTGCTCTGGACCCAATTTATCATACTTTATCAATAGGTCACACCCTATTTATCACACTTTAAATGTTAATCCCACTCTCATCTCCAGGAGAAAGCCTGACCCCATATGTCTATAAGAGGCCCTTTCTGGCTGAAGGTCTGAATTGACTTGAACAGTTCTGCCTCTATTTTTCCCATAAATCATTCTCTGCAAGAACAGTTCTTTTTACTTCTGGCCCTGTAGGGCCCTTTCTTAAGAAAGATTTTCTCCCTTCCTGGGTTAGGGTTCCCTGTTCCAGCTTCCTGCTAGGTCCTTATTACAGTTTCCTGCCAATTGGTTAGTTTTATAATTACATCACTCAACTGTAAGTTGCCCTTTTGTTGTTGTTCTCTTCCATGTAACCGTAGAAAAATACCTGGCATAGTGGAAGGAATAGCTTTTCATAAGGGAATAAACAAGTAATGGACTCTTCTTCCTTGTCTGAACATAACATTGTATTTTGACCCCAGGTTGTGACTACATTCTCCTGACACTTGGCAAGCATGAGTTTCAGCAACCTTCTCTATAGTATTGGGGAAGAGTTGGGCAGTGAAGACCTGGCCTCCCTCAAGTTCCTGTGCAGTGACCATATCCCACAGAGGCAGCAGGAACCCATCAAGGATGCTTTAATGTTATTCCTGAGACTTCAGGAAAAGAGAATGTTGGAGGAAGACGACATATTCTTCTTGAAGGAGCTGCTTTTCCAAATTAAGAGATTTGATCTTTTGGTTAAATACTTGGACACCGACCCAAGAGACGTGGAGGAGGAACTCCAGATATCGGACAAGGCTCAGATCTCTGCCTACAGGTGGGGGAAGTTGCACAGGATGGGAAAAAGTAAACTGTTTATGGGGATGAAGTGATAACACAGCAGGTAGGGAATTTGCCTTGCGCGCAGCTGACCCAGGTTCAATTCCTAGAATCCCATATGGTCCCCCAACCTCCGCCAGGAGTAATTCCTGAGCACATAAGCCAGAAGTATCCCCTGTGCACCACTGGGTGTGACAAAAAAAAAGGAAACTGTTTTTAGTAGTGCTGATTGTGTGTTTTCTGTGATATGACTTTGGAGGCTCTGGGAATAAGAAATTCAGAGCTCATGCATAATTCAGAACAAAATGGGCTGGGAAAGTAGCTCAAAGGTCTGGAGCCCATGCTTTCCCTGCATGAGGCCCCAAATTTGGTCCCTCACTGCATATGGCACCCCAGCACTTCCAGGTATAGCCCTACTGGTCCCCAAGCACCAGCAGGTGGGAACCTCATGGCCTCCAGTATCGTTGGGTCTGGGAAGCATCACACTGATAGACCTGAACATCGATGTGGAAGGCCCAGATGGTTGCAGGGAGTGACCTCTGGAGTCCCCTGAGCACAGCTTGGGAGCACCTGCCCCCAAAAAAAGTGGAAAAAAGAAAAACAAAGAAGTAAAACAATAGAAAGAATTAAAAACATTTTCCCAAATGCTGTAGTTATGCTAAAATTAAAAATGAAACTTTTTCTAACTGTTCTTTTTCTCTGTCATGCGTCTGCTCTCTTGCTGTCTTTGCTTTACTGATGCTCACATGGTGTGCCTCCTTTGCCTATTAGTGGATAAAGCCTCAATACTTCCCATCTGAAATCCCCATCTCACCTACCTGTAGATGATTATGGAAATTCTCGTTTGGTTGGAGTGTTTAGATTTGTATTCACAAAAGCCGTCCAATGCTTGATATGTTCTCAGTCATTCTAGACTGGCTATCTGGGAGTCACTGTGAACCTGTGAGCCTGGCGACAGCTAGGCGGAAGGACGTGGCTTGGGTTGTTTGTCCTGCCAAAGTCTGTGGCACTCCTTCTTTTCTCTCCTGAGAGTGTGGGCAACCCGAAAGTGATAATTATCCATGTTAACTGACAAGTCTTTAAAAATGAAGTTCACCACCTACTTCTGTATTTCAACATTCTCTGTTACCAGACAGTCCTTAAAGTTATTTTTAGCTTTCACTAAAAAAAAAAAAAAGTCAGGAAAACTAAACTTTTATCTATTTCACAATCTCTACAGTGAGTCAGTAACTATCATGAGTGCTCTGAGGTCTTCACAGCCAGGGCTGACAGGCACTAACTCTTAGCAGCCTGACTAGTAACGCCCTGCCACTGGGGTCCATCTTTATTATGTTTCTGTATTTGATTATCTTCCTAGGGTTGCTGTAACACACCCCCACACACTAGATGACTTAATATTATAGAGAAATTAATTTTCTAACGATTGTAGAAGTCTGAACATTATATAAGTCTGGCAGAGATGGCTCCTTGGGGAGGCTGGGAAGGGCAATAGTTTCATGCCCCTCTCCATGCTCCAGGTTTTAATCAGCTATAGTTATTTTCTCTTTACTCCATTTCTCTGCCTCCATTCCCCCCTCTCTATATATCTGAATTTCTCTATACTTTTTTTTTCCCTGAGGGATGGGTGTTGGATCCCAAGCAGTGCTCAGGATATCCGGGGAGCCCACCCGAGATTCTTGGTCACTCTGGCAGTCTGTTTTTCAGAAGGGGCTGGGAGTGCAATGCTGCTGGGACCCTGCAGTGCTAGAAATAACTGGGACCATCCTGGTGGTACTGGGGGCTGCACCTAGAGATGGTTGGGGGAACATCTAGTACCAAATTAGACCTGGGTTAGGTGTGTGATAGGTAGACCCCCCAGACCACTGTGGGGAGTGAAAGGGGTAGCCTCGAGAAAAGAGTGCTTCTATCTTTCTGCTTGACCGATCTCAGTCGTCTGGGGATATTCCTGGCTTGGGTCAGGACGAGTAATGTCTTCTTCAAGCACCTACAGGTGCTGACCCTCGCATCCCACCAGCTCTACGAGGCAGATGTCAAGCTGCACCGAAAGTCCACTTGTAAATGCCAGAGATGATCCTGGCCATCTTGTGAAGCGGTGACTCAGGCTGGAGTGAGGAATTGCTCTTTGCAAGAAAGTCAGCCCTACCTTTGGCACAGGCATTCCAGGACTGCCACCTTCCTCTGTAGAATAGGAGTGCTGAAGGAGGCAAGATTGTTTTTATTGAAAGCGATATACTTAGTTGTGAGGACTAAGAGAGGAATTCATTTTCAGGCTCAGAGGCTTATAAAAACCAAAGGGCCGGGACCCTGCTCTCCGAGAGTTCCCTAATCAAACAATTTTAATAGGTGACACTGGGCTACCCAAAGGAACAACAGTGCGAATGCAACTTAGAGGACCTTCACGCCCAGTAAAAGGAGAGGGAGGGCAGTTGGATATGTTTAGGAGGACATGGGGGTGGGGTGGGGGTGAGGAGTGGCAAGAGAAGAGAAAGAGATAGACTGCGTACAAAGGTCTCTTTTATGAAGAGTCAAGTGCTTGACCTTGTCAATGAAGGTAACAATGGAAGAACCCCGACAAGTTTTACTTAAGGAAGTGATAAGTTGATTTTCAATTGAAAAGAAAAACTTCAAAAATATAAACCTCACATATTACAGAAAGATTTTGATTTTAGAGTGCAGAGCAACAGAAAAACTATTAGTTTAACAGAAATTAAATGAATGATAAATTAGAGGGTTTTAAATTCTGTTCTGGTTGGACTAGTTAGGCTTGAGTCATAAGTCTTCTGTATCAAAATGTTAATTTCTTTCCAAGGACTTGACTCACATTGTGTCATTAGTTAGTTTATTTTAAAGAGAGGATACTGGAATCTAGTTTCACACAACTTCATGCTCAGATGAAAGCAATTCAAAAAAGCATTTCTAAGGTGTCTCTGTTTTCCACCACAGGGTTATGCTTTTTCAGATTTCAGAAGAATTAAGCAAAAACGAAGTGAAGCAGTTTAAGTTTTTGTTGAGTGAGTTGATTTCCAAATGTAAACTGGATGAAGACATGGTAAGACATGGTGTGTCCCAAGATTTAGCCCTCAGGATGAGCCAGCCAATGAGATTTCTGAGTCAGAAAAGAGGATTAGTTTGGTGAAAGTAACCTAATTCTTACTTTTGAGAGGTTAAAGAGAGGCTGGAGAGATAGTATAGCAGCTAGGATGTTAACTTTACACGTGACAACCTCAGGTTTGATTCCCAGCAGCCCATATGGTCTCCTGAGCATCCGCAGGAAAGATTCCTGAGAGAGTAAGTCCTGAGTACCATTGGGTGTGGTAAAAAAAAAATAGCAAATTAACAAAGGGTTTAAAAAGGAAAGTGGTCCAGATACAATTTCTTTGTCAAGGCAAAGTGCTGCTCACACTGTTATCAAGGGCAGGCTGGGGTGTGGAGTAAAGAGAAAAGGCTGATTGTGAGGGCATACATGAGACCCTACAGAGTCAGGAAAGACAATAGTGAGCCTGAGATGCCTTCCTTCCTGCTACTCTATCAAACCACCTGGCATCTGGAACTCTGTATGTTTGTATACATGTGCATATGTGTGTTTGTGTGCATACATAAGTGCATGTGAGTGTGTGCATATAAATGTGAGATCTCATGTACAGAGGTGGATGTGGAGTATAAGCAGGGCCCAGGAGGACCAGGTCACTGGGTCTCAGTCATGCACCTGGGCTGTCTCAGAGTCCTCACATGAAGAAGTCCATGGTCAGGGCCTGGGGCTGAGTGATGTGTGCAGAGCTCCTCTCTCTTCTCTTTTCTCTCTACCAAAAAGCATGGAATTACTTCTCTAGGGGTCTGTGCGCTTTATAAAATCAAGATGTCCTTACTCAAGGATTGACTTGGGATGTTAGGATGGGACCTTGATTTGGAGAAAGCGGACATATGAAAAGAAAAAAATGGGATCTAAAAGCCAATATGATTCAATTTAATATTCCAAGCTTATTTCTCCTTCCTCTAGAACTTGTTCGATATTTTCATAGAGATGGAAAAGAGGGACATCCTTGGGAAAAACAACTTGGAATATTTGAAGGAAATCCGTCACATCAACAAGAGTGTGCTCAAGAAGATCAGTGACTATGAAAAATCTACTGAAGGTAGAAATGACCCAATGGCTATGATGTGGTAGATGTATTCCTAAATTTTCAAATCTCTCTGTACCCAGTTGTTTCTAACTTTATATATTAATAGTTAGATATTCAATCCAGAGGGGAAGATGAGTCTTACAAGAAGTTCAGCTGGATCTTTAAATGGTAAATATTGGTAGAGGGTTTACAAGATGAGTTTGGTTTGTTTGTTTTTTTGAAATCTTTTTTGGTCACCTTCTCTACACAGAGAAGGATGAAAGTGTTGCCAAAAACACAGATTCCACAGCCCCAGATCAGATCTGAAATGGAACAAAGATAACTTATAATAAGGTTTTAATTTTGCTGTATGAGTGTTTTAATATATGCTGCCTGTTTTATATAACAAGAAGGCAGATTCCAATATATCTCAGGACTTTCTTAAGTCACTTTCTTCTCTAATGAGAACAATTGGACTTGCTCTTCAGGTCAGAGTTCCCTTGGCCAAAACTGAGTGTAACAATTTCCTTAAATTTCTGCCAACTCCAGGACCTCCTAGTCCCCCTGTTACCCCATCATCAGCCTGCCTTTCTCTTGGGATACTGCAACGAAATCATGCTTCTAATGTCAGAGAAAGACTTTGTCCAAATTCTCTATCCTTTTTTGTGTCTGGGTAAAATAGGTTGAATTAGGAAAAGAGAGGGGTTGGAGTGATAGTATAGCAGGGAGGGTGTTGCCTTGCATGCAGCCAACCGGGGTTCGATCTTCAGCATCCCATATGTTCTGCTGAGCATCACCAGGAATAATTTTTGAGTGCAGAGCCAGGAGTAGCCCCTGAGCATTGGTGTGTCTGATTCAAAAAGAAAAGAAAAAAAAGGAAAAGAGATAATCAAGGATCTGTTGCAATTTTTTTTATCAGATATTATGCTTCTAAAAATTGCCAGCCGGTGTAGAGTAATATGCAGTATAACTCTTCTTGGTCCTGATTATCTGGTGATAAGACAAAACCAAACTTGCAGAATGTCTAAAACTTGTTAGTTCCCTACCTGCAGGATCCCGGGGACTGCAAGGAACCTATGCTATAGGCATTTAGGTCAATTTTCATTTAAAAAGGGAAAATGAATATTTGAATATTTTCTCATTTAAAATGTTTACATAAATGTTACTTAAAAAAAAAAGACAACCAAAGTAGTATAAGGAAGGACCATCTTTCCTTGTTTTTTTCTAAGTACTTTGGTTCATCTATCATCAAATTGACATAAAACAGGTTAACAGGAGAAAACAAGTTTAATTTTATATGTAGGCAAGACCTGAAAGTCTGTGAGACTCCAAAAATGGACATATAGAAAGATTATAAAACATTCATACAGGGGTTGGAGATAGTTCAGCAAGTAGGGTGCTGGGCTTGTATGTCGCAGGCCTTCATTTGAACCCCTGCACTACATATAGTCCCAGAGACCCGCCAGGAGTGATTCCTTAGGACCCTGGGTGTGGTCCCAAATCCAAAATTAAAGAAACCTTTTAGATAAATTTATGAGGAACTGAAAGGGGCCTGAACTTGGGGTAGAAACTGATGATTAATATAAAGATGTGTTTACACAATCTCTTTTGGATCTGCACCCCTATCTCTGGTGATAAGGAGAATAGGGAAGGTTCCTTTCTCATGGAAATTTTATTTCTTTGTTTTGGAGGGAAAGGAGAGGAGAATCAAAGTTCTTGCATTGGCTATTCAATATAATAACCAGTGATTATTAAAATAATCACTAGGCTAAAATGGTTTATTTTGGTGTGATACTTTCTGAACCCCTACACTCTACATTAAACTTGGCCAATGTACATGTTTTTGTGTCTCAAATGCTCACAGTTGAAAGGTCGCTGGAATTGCTGACAATATCCGATTCTTCAGGACAGCAGGGCAGTCAGCCACAGGTATGGTCTTGAGAACACCCATTCATTTGCCTCTTTGTATTGCAGCCTCTAGTGACTGAACTTTTTTTTTTTAATGTTGGAGTACTGCTATTTATTCAACCATTGATGACTGAAGGTTTTAGTCTTTTTTGCTCCCAGATGAGTATAGAAGGGGCAGAAATATATTAAAGTGTTGAGAACTCTTTTTTAAAAACATCAACAAAAATATTTAAGGTGTGCCTGGCTGCCCTAGTTCTGCAACACTCTAGCTGAGAGGACCCCTCAGAAGCATAACCCCAAGGCCCATGTGTCCTGTATAACCCCCCGCGGCACCGAAAGCCATAAACCTGGTCTGCTGGCTGGCTGGGGTTTTCTATTGCTCTGCCCAAATAATCTCCAAACCCTCATCAGTGAGAGGTGGCAGAAGGAAAATGAGCTGGATTCCATGATGAGCAAGGAAAAGAGAGGGAGCCCTCCTGCAGGGACTTCGCCTTCTTTTAGAGGACTGGACGAGCCGGCTTCACCATGAACCTCTCCTGGTGCTTGACCCCCAGTTAGGTCTGTTTTTGGAGAAAGGGGCTGCCTTTTATTTATTTATTTATTTATTTATTTATTTATTGCTTTTTGGGTCACATCCGGCACAGGGGTTACTCCTGGCTCTGCACTCAGGAATTACTCCTGGCGGTGCTCAGGGGACCATATGGGATGCTGGGAATTGAACACGGGTGAGCCGCGTGCAAGGCAAACGCCCTACCCACTTTGCTATCACTCCAGCCCCGAGACTGCCTTTTGAATTATCTCCTCCGTGCTCTCTTAGGTTTCCTGTGTATAAATTCTTTATTTTGAATCAAAGGCCAAGGCATTGAAAAAAGGGCAGGAGTGGCGAGACACTTCTACCTAACCCTTCCAGCAAAAGCCTGAAGAGCCAGAGGAACCCAGCAGGGCTGATCAGAGCTCAGGGTTTCCTTTGTGCTCGTCCTCTCAGAAGCTTCCCTGATTAGGGGCAAACAGCAAGCATGGCCAGAGAGGTGTCTTTGTGTTCTTGTTTAAATGAACTGACCCAAGGCTGACCTCTCTGGACGTACCCAACCTGCTTGCTCCATCCTCAGCAGTTTGTCCAGCGTATTCTGGCTCTAGCCCTGTGCTCCTCCTGGGGGCAGAGGAAACTTCAACAGGAGATTTAAAATGAAGTTTCCATGAGTTCCAGATGACGAAAAACCTTCTCAGTTTGAAAACTACTGGATTAACCCAAGAGGTGACTGGTAAATGTTTTTTCACTGAACCTCTGCTGGGTGCGGAAGTAGCAGAGCCGAGTATGACATGTAGCCTTGAGCTGTTTTCCTTGTATGTTCAATTGCCACACAGATTTTCCCATTAAATGCTGAGCATGTTAACAAGGCACTATCCCTGGGATAATTAGGACAACTTGGGCTTATCAAGGACTGATATGCTTAGGGACCAGCTTGTGTAGCAATCTGGCAGAAAAGCCCAAACCCACCTCACCCAGCACATCTCTGTCCTCTGCTTTCTGAGGACCTGAGAGATCTGTGTCACATACCCACTCTGGCCTATGATAGACAGGCCCTCTGTGCTCAGCCGGACCCCTGTACATGTTGAGCAGATGGCCAAGGATCACAGGGGTCTTGAAAGGGCAATCCTGAAGACTCACCTTGTCACTCATCGACTCCTGATGGAGCGGAGACAGTGACAGATCAGGGCAATACAATGAGATGACAGCAATATTAATGCAAAGACAAAGTGCACAGGAGGCCCAAATTTGGGGATCTGACTTTCCACACACTGTGGGGCAGAAATGTGGGATTTCTGAATAGAAGGAAGGGGGGACTGGATTCCCAGTTGGACTGAGGGAAGTTGTTTTTGTTTTGTTTTGTTTTGCAGACATCATACCCTGTTTACCAAATGAAGAGCAAACCTCGGGGATTTTGTTTGATCATTAACAATTACGATTTTAGTGTGGCAAGAAAAAATGTACGCAAACTTCGCCAGGTGAAGGACAGAAGTGGTACAGATATGGATGCAGGTATAAGTGGAAGCCAAAAGAGAAAAGGGAAAGGATGATCTAAGCGTACCCCTTTTACTACAGCTTCCCATTCTGTATTTTATATTCCACAGATTAGTGAGATCATCCTGTGTTTGAGATAGACAAAAATTCAATAAACACTAAAGAATTAATTTACAATGTACTAGTAACAGAAATACTACTATTGAGTCAAATAAATACTGTAAATAATTGTTTAAGAGCATCAAATGCTAGTTTTCCTTAAAAGTCTAACAGTTATGAATGAATAAGTATTGTAATCAAATTCATTACAACGTGAATGAAACCCATAAAAGAAAGTGATTTGGGACCATAGATATAGCATAAAGGTTAAGGTGCTTGCCTTGCTCATATGTGGCCAACCCTGGTTTCACCCCTAGCACCACAAATGGTCTTCCAAGCCCTCCCTACCAAGAGTTACTCTTGAGCACAGGGAAGTGGAAGCCTTGAGTGCCACTGGTTGTAGCCCAGACAATCCCCTTCCTCAAGTAATTAAAATTTGCTTATGGTAGGGAGGACCAGAAAGGGATAGCTATTTTGTGATGACTTTGGCAAGAAAAACTTATAAAAGTTCTAGATGACCTTTTAAACGTTCACATGTCACACTTCGATAAATGTAAGCATAAGATAGCTCAAGATAAAATCAGTATGGAGACTTTATGAAAATATTTTGATTATACAAGTAGTCAGCTGATAATACAATTTTTTTTTAAAAAAATTATGGTTTAAGTCAATAATTTTTTTTTTTTGCTTTTTTGGGTCATACCCAGCGATGCTCAGGGGTTACTCCTGACTTTGCACTCAGGAATCACTCTTGGCGGTGTTTGGGGACCATATGGGATGCTGGGAATTGAACTCGGGTCGGCCACGTGCAAGGCAAATGCCCTACCTGCTGTGCTATTGCTCCAGCCCCAGGTCAATAAATAGTATTTATGTTTCTGGTATTGATGTAGGCATTACTGCCCATGACCTTCTCCCTCCATCCCTATATCCACTATGGTTCAACATTCTATCCCTCTAACCACTACCTCTGTTATTTGCCCATTGACAGTTTTGGTTTTGGTGCATACCGGTTTACATTCATTTGGTAAAAAGCCTAACTAATAGTTCATTATCTTGCAGACCAGTGGAGTACAAACATAGGCCAACAATAGTTCTGTCGTTTATCTCAGGATTGGGGGGTGTTTTCAGCTAGAGGAAAGGTCTTGTTTTTAAATTATGGTTCAAATTTTTTAGTTAAACCCACTGTTCTCTCTAGCTCTGTGTTGTGTTCTAGGGATTATTGTATAATAGGACTTTTCTTTCTTTTTTTTTAATATTCAGCGGAATTGAACAAGAGCTTCAGTGATCTTCATTTTGAGGTAGTGACTTACAGAAACTGCGAAGCAGAGAAAATCTGTGAGATTTTGAAGGAATTCCAAGGCAAGGACCATAGTGAAAAGGACTGTTTCGTCTGCTGCATCCTCTCTCATGGAGATAAAGGCATTATCTATGGCTCTGATGGGCAGGAAGTCTCTATCTACACAGTGACCTCTTTCTTCACTGGTAAAGACTGTCCTTCCCTTCGAAACAAACCCAAAGTCTTTTTTATTCAGGCTTGTCAAGGAGAGACATACCAAAAAGGGGTAGCTATTGAAAGTGACTCAAATCAGCGGGAGCTGTGCTTAGACACGGACGCATTGAACCACAAGTATATCCCAGATGAATCTGACTTTCTGCTGGGGATGGCCACTGTGTACGACTGCGTTTCCTATCGAGACCCCACAAAGGGGACATGGTACATCCAGTCGCTTTGCCGGCACCTTAGAGACGGATGTTCTAGGTAAGTTTTTTCTCTTCAATATTTCATTTTCTCTCTAAATATACAGACCAACTGTCCATTACATAGATTAACTTCTATGAAGTTTCAAAGTAGAAGAGATGTCCAGGATGAACATTTTTAGATGCTAGAGAGAAAAACAAGTGATTACTAAGGAATTCCCTTAACTAAGAATCTCAAAGGAAAAGATGCCAATCAAGCCAGGAAAGATGTAGCTTAGCCCATTCTTCAGGTAGAAATATGACTATGTTAACTCAACTGTTTTTGGAAACCAAGAAGGAAGTAACTCATTTAAGTGTTTAACATCCCCTAATTTTGTCAAAAGTTCTCTGAAAGCTAATTAACTTCAAACCTTCTTGGTGTATTGTTGGAGATTATAACTAAAGAATAGTAATTTGGCCTTATTTAAAGCCACAAAGTGTGAAAAACCCTTCCTTCATTTATTATATCCTGTTTCCTTTAATTAAGAGATCATTTGCTTTGTCAGATTACCCAAATACTCACAAAACTAATGAGTGACTAGCAAGAAATCTGCAGGTTCCTTTCCGTTTTGTATCTTGTCCAGTATATACTCCTGTTTTTGTTTTTGTTTTTTTGCTCTTTGGGTCACACCCTGTGATGCACAGGGGTTAGTCCTGGCTCATGCACTCAGGAATTACTCCTGGCGGTGTTCGGAGGACCATATGGAATGCTGGGAATTGAACCTGGGTTGGCCGCATGCAAGGCAAACGCCCTGCCCACTGTGTTATCACTCCAGCCCCTATACTCCTGTTTTTTAAAATGTGGTTGAAGTCTATAACATTGTATAATTCGAAGGCATGCATTCTTACAAATTACTGTTTATGTATAAATTCACCTCTAGTAGTTCAATTCTGTCATTCACCATATAAGTTATTATTCCTTTACCCAAATGTACATATATAAGTGAAATTATAGTTATTGTCTTTCTACATCTAATTTTGGTTGTTTCCAACACTAGGCTATTGTAAATAATGCTATAATGGACATGAAAGTGCACATATCTCTTTGAAATAGTGTTTTTTCCCCTTGGAACAATACAGAAGTGAGATTACTGGATCATATAGCATTTCCATTTTATTTATTTACTTTTTAGATTTATTTATTTTTTTATTAGTGAAACACCATGAGGTACAGTTGTAGACTTACAAATTTTTGTGCTTGGGACTCTGTTATACAATGATCAAACACCCATCCTTTCACCAGTGCCCATTTTCCACCACCACGTGTCTCAGTATCCCTCCCACCCAGCATTTCCATTTTAAATCTTTAAGGACTCTATAGGCTGTTTGCCATAGTGGCTGCACCAGTTTTTATCCTTCCAAAAGATACAGAAGTAAAACACCCAAACCAAATCTTATGCTGGCACTGGGGTTTTTGACAGTTAGTAGAGATCTTAGGCAAACTCAAGCTTATTTAATTGGGTTAAATATTCTTTTCCGGGATCTGGATTTTATAGTCTCTGAGTCTTGGCCGCTGATGGGATTACACGGCGCCAGGGGGCCAGGTGGTGGGTGTGACCCCCGCCTACTGGAATTTGGAGGATCTGGGTGGAAGATGCTCGACTCCAATTCGAGTAGGCTTGGAGGTCTCGGCCCCGGAACCCGCGTGGCTTTGTCCCTCTGCCAGTACCTTCATGTGTGCAGAGAGTGGTCTCAGCATGGTGGTGGCTGGTCCTGGAGGTCTCCGGCTGCCGTAGCCCTGGCCGGGGCGGGGAGGAAAGCTCAACCCGCTCCCCTCCAAGGGACTCCGGGAAGGAACACCGAAGCGCGGGGGCAGAGACTGCACTGCTCTCGTCCGGGATCTGGATTTTATAGTCTCTGAGTCTTGGCCGCTGATGGGATTACACGGCGCCAGGGGGCCAGGTGGTGGGTGTGACCCCCGCCTACTGGAATTTGGAGGATCTGGGTGGAAGATGCTCGACTCCAATTCGAGTAGGCTTGGAGGTCTCGGCCCCGGAACCCGCGTGGCTTTGTCCCTCTGCCAGTACCTTCAGGTGTGCGGAGAGTGGTCTCAGCATGGTGGTGGCTGGTCCTGGAGGTCTCCGGCTGCCGTAGCCCTGGCCGGGGCGGGGAGGAAAGCTCAACCCGCTCCCCTCCAAGGGACTCCGGGAAGGAACACCGAAGCGCGGGGGCAGAGACTGCACTGCTCTCGCGGCCGCGCGACATCTTATTATCTCATTCCTACTTTGGACAAACTTGCAGGCTGTCGAATGTAGCCTGCCCACAGGGCAGAGTCTGGCAAACTCCCCGTGGCCTACCAAATATGCCAAATACCAGTAACAATGATGGGTCTCATTCTCCTAAAGAGCCCTGAATATAATCTCAGGGCTAGGATGAAAGAGACGTTACTGGGGCCTGCTCGAGGCAATCGACGATTAACAGGATAATGAAATGAAAATGAAATGAAAATATTCTTTTAAACTTTACATAATATCTTTTATTTTATATCAGTCTTATCTGTACATATTATATATATATCTACATAAAAAACAGGAACATATAAAACTAACCTCTGGTAGGAAGCTTGCCACTGGAGGGTTTGGCAGAAAGAAGGATTGGATTAGAAGAGAACACTACAGCAATGGGCAGAGGGAAGCTGTCACTCAGGAGGATGAGAGGATACTGAAAGGTGGTAAAGTGTTATTTATGTATGAAACTACTAATAACAGGACAATAAACCAACAATGTCTAAAAACTGCTGGGTGGGAAGGAAACTAGGAACATTGGTGAAAGGAAGTAGACAATGGTGAAGGGATTAGTGTAGGAACATTGTATACCTGAAAGCCAATAATGAAAAAACTAATTCATGGTAAATAAATTTTTAAAAATAAATGAAATTAAATATATAAAAGCTATCATTTTGAACTATATTATTCATTATTATTATTATTATTTGGCCCACACCTGGCAATGAGTATGGGTTATTCCTGACTGTATGCTCAGGAATTACTCCTGGTGATGCTCAGGGGACCATATAGGGTGCTGGGAATCAAACCTGAGTGTGCCACATGCAAGGCAAGCACCCTACCTGCTATACTATCACTCCAGCCCCTACACTAATATTATTTTCTTTAGTAAATTATTATGTAATAATAAGAATATGGTAGTGAATCTTCTGTTTATAATAAATCTATATATTTATCACAATATGGTATATATTAATAAGGTTTTCTTTTTTTTTTTTTGCTTTTTGGGTCACACCGAGCGATGCACAGGGGTTATTTCTGGCTCATGCACTCAGGAATTACTCCTGGCGGTGCTCGGGGGACCATATGGGATGCTGGGAATCGAACCTAGGTCGGCTGCGTGCAAGGCAAACACCCTACCCGCTGTGCTATCACTCCAGCCCCGGTTTTTGTCATTTTTATACACCTAGAATCACAGAGGTCAGTTACATTCTTCACAGTGAAATAATAGGACAGATTTACAACTTTGTTGAATCGTTAAACAAGAGTTACCAAGGATAGTATTATTCATTATTATTATTAAAGAGGTATTGATTAGTCATCAGTTGACATTACTATAAAACCAGGAGTACAGCTTTAGCCTTCTATATGTATAACTATTTGACTGTATCCACCACCTGTTCAGTGCCATCACACATCAAAGTGTCCCCTCTACCCAATCCTTTTATCTTTGCCCTTTCATTCTAATTTCATTGTAACCACCATAGTTCTGAGTCTAAGAGTTATTGCTCTTGTATTTTACCAATTTATCTGCTTTGGTTACTTATATTCCACATGAGTGACACTATTCTGTAATTATCTTTAACTTTCTGTCTTATTTTGTTTAGCATAACCACCTTAAGTTCCATCTGTGTTACCATGAAAGTCACAATTTTTTTAATAACAGATATACCTATATACCTATATATGTAATATATATGTATATATTATGTATACATGTATATATACAGATATATATGTATATATATATATAGAGAGAGAGAGAGAGAGCACAGTTTTTCTGACCAGCAATCTGTCGGTGACCATTTAGTTTGATGCCATGCTTGACTACTGTGATAAACACTTCTTTCAATGTAGGTGTGCATATATTCTTCTGAATTTCTGTTTTCATATAAAAATGAGTTATTAAACTTTAAGACAACTTCTTTACAGGAATGCTGTTATAGATTTGATTTTGCAACTTACTGTTTCAAATGACCAATGTTTTGAGTGAAAGAGCTATAAAAGTGTGCACCAGATAGATTAATCTGGTGCATACTCTTTTGTTTTTTCCCCTCATAATAACAGTGTTGTGTTATTATGTTTTACAGGGGTGACGATATTCTTACCATCCTCACTAAAGTGAACAATGAAGTGAGCACTATGGATGATATAAAAAATAATGGGAAACAGATGCCACAACCTACATTCACACTGAGAAAAAAACTCATGTTCCCTCTGAATTGATGCTCTTGTTTTGTTGCCTAACACGATGCTTAATTTATTTTCTACCAAGAGTCTGATACTTGCCCTTTCATTTTTCTGCTTGACAGAAGCAGGGAGATGGGAGTCAGGTAATCTAATCTGTAAGCACAGTCAAGCCTAAAAGCCTGGCTTCATAATTGTTAGAAATTTTGGAGCTATAAGCATGAGCTTAAACGTATTTGGGGAGAATGTCCTGACCTCACGCCAGGCTGTCTTCACTGGGGCACCTTGGAGCAGGGCAGGCTGAGTTTCACTCCCTGCCTCAAGCAGAACCCCGGCAGCTGAAAACCTCTAGAACCCATGCTCAAGGCCTCCATGCTTCTCTTTCTCCTGGAAGGGAGCTAACATGAAGCCTGTCACAGCCATGCCACTGGGCTCCGCTCCAGGCTGTTTCATTCAGCCCCAGCAGCCGAAAACCTCTAGGACCCAGCCACCACCATGCTCAAGGCTGCTCCCCACAGGCTCTGGCTGAGCCTCACGCATGAGTGAAGTCCCACAAAACCCAGGTAATGCAGAACTTTGTGACCTTGAACTCTGGGCCTAATGGGACTGGGAGCGGAGATCTTCAGCCCTTTACCCCAGGCTATGGTGATCCAGGGATCACACCCATAAGCCACCTCCTTCTGGGACCAGATAATCTCGTCATTGGCCACCATCCAGATCACATGGCTCTTTCTCCCAGAAGGGAGCATAACATGAAGCCTGCCACAGCCATGCCACCAGACTCCGCGTCAGGCTTTTTTACCTGGAGTGCCCCAAAGGGGGTGGGTGAGAGCACTCCCCGCCCCAAGGGACCCAGCCCTGGCAGCCGAAAAACTCCAGGACCCAGCCGCCGCTCAAGGCTGCTCCCCACCCGCTCAGGCCGAACCTCACGCATGAGTGAACATATTCTTGGACCACGGGACTGCGAATGCAGCACATCATAAGATACTCCCTACCCATTCTCCATAAGTACTACACCACAATTAATGGGGTCCAGATAGTAGGTAACAAATCATAGAGGGAAATATATATATGCATATATACATATTTTCATATATATACATATGAAAGCTCACATTACTCAACTTTTAACAACATGTTAGTGATATCCTAAAGAATGTCTTAATGGCCCCTGCCAAAATAGAACAATCTTCACACTGTTTCCTATATGAATACTTTTTTGTGAGCATTTTCAGTGGTTCTCCATAACAGACAATACAAAATATATTATTTCCGTTGTGCTTTGTGACAGAGATCGGGGCTTGAGATAGAAACATCCCAAATTTGGTGGTGGAAAGGGGTAATGGTGGTGGGATTGGTGTCTGAATATTAAATGTAATCAAATATTGTGAACTACCTTATAAAATAAAAAAATTAAAAAAAATAATAAAGGCCGCCATGCTCAAGGCTACTCTCCATCTGCTTGGACGAGCCTCACCCAAGAGAGGACCAGCCTCACCCAAGACAGGATGAACCTCACTCAAGAGAGGACCAGCAGAAAAACCCAGGTATTCAGAACCCTTGACTGAAATCTCCAAGCCGGCTTGGATTGGGACTGGGTCTCCTCCCCCCAGCCCCCCAGTTTACCAGTAGCTTGGTAATCACACCCACAAACTGTCCCTGGAGCCATGTAATCTCATCAACAGCCAAGACCCAGAGACTATAAACTAAACCTCCTGGCCTGGAAGAGAGTGCCACAGAATTTTCTGGAGCGTGCGGCCTCTTATACTCTATCTCACTTATTTATCAAAAGTAGCACACATTTGTTTGGTTCTAGCATACTTGCTTGTATTCTCTTATCTACAGGCTTAAATGGCTACAGAATGAAATACAACAACCTTCACACACTTCCCTCTTATTGTAGTTGGAAGATGCTCGGTGTTGGGATTGGTGTTTGAATACTATCTGTAATGAATTATTGTGACCTACTTTATTAAAAAAATGTATTTGAGGAATCAGGACACACTTGACCATGGTGCTTAGAGGTTACTCCTGGTTTGATACTTGGGGAATTGCTCATGGTGGTGCTTGGGGAACCATATGATGCTAGAGATCAAATTCAGGACTCTTAGGTGCAAAGCATGTACTCCAATCCTATGAGTGATCTCCCAGTCTTTAATTGTATTTTTAATTTGATGAAAAAGTTTTTCATCACTTAATATCCAAAACCTGTTATGAGTTTTCAAGAAATATAAGAGCTAAACGTTTTGGAAAAAATGGTAGAAGTTTCTTCACATTTATCTTCAAATGAGAGAATAATTTAAATCCAGAAATATTTGACTTAATTTCTTTCAAATTGTTAAGCACTTAGGAAGAAATTGAGGAGCCATTTCAAAATTATAGCCTTGAACATAGAAGTAACATAGATGATGTAGTGACATTATACACTGAAAAGGGGAAGTGGTGAGAACAGTTTCCTACTCAAGGTTCAGAATAAGTGAGTATTATTAAATTGGAAGAAATAGTATATGACAAGAAAAGCATCATTTCTCTCCCCTTCATGAAAGGGCTAATTCGTCACTGTGATTCCTATTAAGATTTTACTGGACATTTTGCCTGCTAATGAGGTGTTCTTTAAAATCTGTCTCCAAACTTTCTTTTCAGGGTCTTATCACTTTTATGATCTATACATGCTTCCATTCATATACATGCTTCTATACATGTCAGTGTATAGAATGTTTGCTGACAGTGCTGTACTTCTTTTATGTGTCTGCATTTGTATTTTTTTAATATTTAGGTCATTCTAAACTAAAGTAAAATTTTAGAAAGATTTTTTCGAAAGACAGTTTTCAGAGAATAAAAAAAAAAATTTTTTTGTTACTATTCCTTGTGGAGATTGATTTATTTACTTGTTTTGTCTTTGCCATAATGTCTTATAGGTGGAAATGTCAGGGTCACAGACATGTTTACTTGAGCATTTCCTATGTTGGTTTGCACAGTTGTGTTTTCTAAGAAATTGTTACCATTAAAAAAAATTGAGGGGCTGGAGTGATAGCACAGCGGGTAGTGCGTTTGCCTTGCATGTAGCTGACCCGGGTTCGAATCCCAGAATCCCATATGGTCCCCTGAGCACTGCCAGGAGTAATTCCTGAGTACAGAGCCAGGAGTAACCCCTGAGCATTGCTGGATGTGACCCAAAAAGCAAAAAAAAAAAATTGAGGGGCTGGAGCGATAGCACAGCAGGTAGGGCATTTGCCTTGCACGTAGCTGACACTGGTTCAATTCCCATATGGTCCCCCAAGCACTTCCAGGAGTAATTCCTGACTGCAGAGCCAGGAGAAATCCTTGTGCATTGCTGGGTGTGACCCAAAAAGCAAACAAAACAAAAAAACAACCTGAGAATTGACACATAAAAACTATGGTTTACTTTTGAATATAAGAATATCTAATTGTATTGACCCCATACTTCTGTTTGGTGACAAAGGAATGGGGTTACCCAATTCTCCCTCTGCCCCTCCACTGTACCCTGTTGATCCACTTCACTAAGCCTATGCCAAAAACCACTTTTATACTATACTTATTTAATTATTTCTGCTCATGTGCAGCCTACTTACTTAGGTTGTCTACCCTGTGGATCTTTGAGTTCTATTGATGGTTTAGAATGGGTAACAACAATTGCCAGAAACTCTTTCTGATTCAAAGATTAGGGAACATATTTGAGAGGTAAAATAATGGAGATACATGTAAGAGAAAAAAGGGTTTTTGAATCAGACCAACAAACTATCTATCTTGCTAGTAAACTGATCCAGGAAGACAAAAGCTACATTCTAAAATACAGTTGATATTTAATAAAATGTTATTCTGACCAGTGTGTTCATAATTAAACCTGTAGAAGTAGAAGAGAAAATTGTACAAAGCATAGGGAGCTCAGCTCCAGATACAGAATATCCATTTCTAGCAAAGGGTTCTGAAAAATCTATATAATTGAGATGAGAATTCAAGTGTTCCCAACCACAGAGAGAAAAATTGAGAGCAGACAGAAGTTGAGTTAAGGCATCAACACAAGTAAACTCAACATATGCATTGATTAAGAAAATCTCAGAAAAGATCCCTGAACCACAGAAAGTATTCCTGCCATCTTCTGTGATGGAGACAGCTAATCTTCTGTTGAGCTTTGCTTTTTTTTATTAAGATCATCAAAAGAATCATACTCATTATGATAAAAAGGAATAGAGTTCACTCTCTCAGATCGTTCTTCAAACATTTCTTCATTCATGGCAATTATCTTTTGCCTATAAAGAAAGGAAAGAAATGTCACTGTAGATTCGAAGGACAAAAATAGAGTATAGGAAATCAGAGGAAGAGAAATGTGCTTTTATTCCTCCACTGGGGGACAATATTAAAACAGGAGGCAGTTTTGAATTAAATAAAATGATATTTGGGTGAACAAGCAAATAATTTTATATTAACAAAATACTATGCTTCCTTCATTAAGATTTAAGATAGGAACCAAAGGCAGCTACAAGCTAAGCTTAAACCACTGATATGTCACAGGGAGGGATTTAAAAATAATCCACAGTAGGGTGCTGGAGAGATATGACACTTGCCTTTCATACAGGTCACCCAGTCCTATCTTCACCCCATATGGTCATCTGACCCCCACTGGGAATGACCCTTGAGCACAGAGCCAAAGGTAGACCCTAAACACAGCTGGTCTTGGTACAAAACCCATCAACATCATCATCATACTCCTCAGCCACAGAACTGAATAAACCGAGAGAGACTTGAGTAAATCTCATGTCATTTTGCATAAGTACTAAGATGTAGGTAAAGGAGAGGGATATAAAGCACTGTTTTTCAACTGTTTTACAAAAGGTGCACTGACACATGTCCTACATACAGGTCTACAGAATGAAACTAAAGCCAAGGTGATAGAACAGTGATTCTCAACCTTTCTACACCTATGGACTAGTCCATGGACCAGTAGTTGGAGAACTACATTTTTAGCCCACTTCAGATGAACCCTATGACTTCAGCAGGTAATGTCTTTGTGGCCAGTCAGACTGAAGTGCTTCCAAAAGTGCATGTGTTATAGCTTCTTTAGGGAAACTATGTTTCATCGTTATCTGTTTTCAAACTTCCTCCAACTTCTTTTA